GGTGCATCTTGTCCACTTATAACTACATATATATGTATGGAAGTACACCACAAACTCGTTATTTAAAAAAAAAAAAATCAGCGGACCTACCCTCTAACAGGCACTTTACCCACACAAATTTGTCTTTTTAATTATGCTTAATTCTATGGTATATCTTTTGTTGTACGTAATATTCATGTAGCGTTAAACTAATAAAGTGATGCGAAGATTATTGTTCCCATAAGATTAAATGTTCTAAAATCAGTTTAGCACTGCTTAATAAACTATTAATTATCAAGTCAATCGATTCACAAAAGTTTAATCAATTCAAAGTAAAAAAGTTGTAGTTGCAAAAGATAAATTCACTAATTTTAAAATCTCTGAACCTAATGATATTTAAAAAACAATGCATGCATAAGAATGAATTTCTTCTGAATATTGCTATGAATCTAGCATAAATACTCATTGTCTCTGTCGAGATCATTGGAGTATTAGCTAGAATCTCACCAACTTCAATTTAACTGTCTACTTAAGATTCAAAACTCTAACCGTTATATATATATATACATGAAAATATTACATTTTAAACCTATAATTTTTTTTTATTCCTCTGTCAAGGCTCTAGATACACTAGATTTTAAATTTATGCATGCCATATACATAGACTAAATGAAGCTTGGAGGAATATAAAAACAACTTTGATTGAAACAATTTATAAAATACAACCTATTATATGCAATACATGGTTTCTTAAATGATTATAGATTCAGATTAAAAAGTTAACCATACATTGAGATACAATTAAATAGACAACATTTTTATTTCACTCAATAAGACAAAAAAATACAACTAGGATTAAGGATATAATGACCCAGATAAGAAAAAATACTCTTTGCACTCCTCTGAATCCACTCAGTACAAGACTCTCACACTCACTCACTCTCACACACACGTCTTTTGAACCTTTCCAACCCTTTAACAAGAAAAAATCATTATAATGTCCAGATCATAGAACATTTAAGTCTCTTATTTATATTTTGCAAACTAATGACTAGCATTGTGGCACTGGTTAGGTAGTGTTGTGGTGATGTTGGACTTGTGTGTTGGCTTCACCACTCGTTGCATCGATTCATCAGTCCAATGTTCTCCCACGCCTACTATAGGAAAATTGTTTATTACCGACATAATTTTCGGCGGATTTTTTGACGACTTTTCCGACGGATTTCCAGCCAATTACGCTGAAATATCTCTGACAATTTTTCAGCAGATTTTCGGGAGGACTTTTCGGTGGATTTATTTCCGCAAATTACCGACAAATTTTAATAAATTTATGAAAAACATATTAATTAATAATTTGCAATTTTTATAATTAATTATTATTTATCAAATTAATTTTTTTAAGTATTCATTTAATAACTTTGTTTAATTAAGTATTAATTAATAACTTATTATATTTTTATTATAAAAAAGTTTATTAATTAATTTATTAAAGTTTATTTATTATTGATTTAATAACTTATTTATATGAAATTAATTATTTAAAATTTTATTAATTATTAATTTTGTAAAATTAAATTAAATATTATTAAACTAAAATAATATGAAAAGTTTAATCATTAAAATAATAAGAAAATTTAAAAATTAATTGTAATATTCTATAAGTTATAGTATAAAATATAAATATAAAAAAACAAAACTTTAACAGTTTTGCATAAAAGGTGTGCTGTTAGGTGGTCATGCGCGGGATGCAGGGAGTCCAGGTTAGTGCACAGGCGTGGCAGGCTTGCGCGGGTCGGCGCTGCGGGCTGGAAACAAGTGGGCTGTGGTTCGGGTCGACGCTGGCATAGGCGTGGAAGGGCCGGCGATAATTCTTAAACGAGATGGTTTTTTTTTTATCAATTTTATTTATTCAGAAGGTTTTTTTTTTCCGCCGGAAATTGTACCAGCGAAAATAATCTGCCAAAAAAATTTCCATAGTTTTTTTTTTCGATAGAACATATTTTTGACAATCGTTTTACCGTTGAAAAAAAAAAATTCATCAGAAATTCATCGGAAAACTTTCAAATCCACCGGAAATGAATACTTTTTCGCCGTAAAATTCATCGGTAATACATGATTTTTCTTTAGTGCGAGACGTTGGGCGATTTGGCACTATGGCACTTGATCTGACAATATGATGCTCCATGGATAGCATCCTTGCGTTATGTTCTCCAGCAATCCCCCAAGACCTCTCCATTATGGCGGGGCTATCAAATTTCTATATTGATTCCCTTAATCATAGATTATTATTTTTTTAATATTTAAGTGACATAATGATGTTAGAATTAGATGAATTTGAGATCGTTAGATTGGACTTATTGAGAACCCCGATTTCACTATTCGCTTGCTGACTATGATTCTTCTAACCTCCATTACCCGTCGAATACAGTCCTTCAAGCTCAATCGCATGAGTACGTTCCTTCTAACTATCGTTGCCCGACTATAACCCCGCTGACCTCCTTTTGCCCGACTATGGTCCCTCTGACCATAGTTACTTGCCGATTATGGTACCTTCAACCATTGTCGCACTACAATAGTCCCTTTGACATGGGTCTCCTAACTACGATCCTTCTTACCACTATCGCTTGACTATGATCCTTCTGACCGCCGTCGCCTGCCAATTATAGTCCTTCTGATTAACGTCAGAAGACTATAATCTCTTTGCCTCCATCACCCAACTACTATCCCTTTCACCATAATTGTATACCGACTATAGTCCCTATAACAATTATCGAACAAAAACAATCCCTTTCGGCCAATGTAACCCAACTACGGTCCTTCGACCTCAATCGCTTGACCAGGTCCTTCAAACCTCTATCGTTTGCTGACTACAGTCCTTCAACCTTTGTCATTTGACTGCAGTCGCTCCAACCTTCGTTGCCCAACTATGGTTCCTTATACCTCAATCGCCTATTGATTATGATCCCTTTAACAACTATCGTACGATAATTGTACCTTTGACATTGGTTTCATGACTATGGTCCCTCTGACCACCATCGTCTAACTACCATCCTTTTGACCACCATCACTTGTCAACTATGATCCTTTCAACATTATCACCCTAATATGATCCTTTTAACCAACGTTGCTCGACTATAGTCCCTTCGACCTCCGTCGCTCGCCGACTACCATCCATCTGACCTTCTTTGCCCGATAATAGTCCATATAACCTCCATCACCAAATAATAGTCCCTTTGACCTTAGTTGCTGGACTATGTTCCCTTTGACTTCCATCACAAAACTATGATTTCTTTGGCTTTTGTAGCTCGAATACAGGCTCTCTAGCTTATGTTTGCTCGATCATGATCTCTTTGACCTCCATCTCCTGGAAATGGTTCATCCGACCTCAGTTTCCTAACTACGGTCTCTTCGACTTTTGTCGCTCATCGTTGTCATCCTACTGGTATGTCTCCTGCCAACCACAATTCCTTATACCTTCACCGCCCAACAACGATCCCTCTAACCTCTGTTGGCTAACTATGGTCCCTTTGACCTCCATTACCAATTGAAAAACGATCATTTTGACCTCCATTACTTGTTGACTATGGTCCCTTCGATCTTCTTCTCCTAACGACCATAGTCCCTTAGGTCTCTATTGGCGTTAATGGTCTCACCAACCTTTGTCGCCTGATTACGGTCCCTCTGACGTTCATCTACAGTCAATAATGGTCCTTCTGACCTCCACTGCTAACTGACTATTCCCCTTCTAACCTCCATCGCATGCCAACTGTCATCCCTTTGACCACCGTTGCCCAATTATGGTCCCTATGATAAACCTCGCATAACAATGGTCCTTTTGACCTATGTTGCGCCTGTCCACCATGGTCCCTCCGACCTTTGTCTCCTAACAACAGTACCTCGGACTCTGTCGCCAAACTACAATTCCTCCTTCGTGTGTCACCATCCTATAATGGTCCTTTTGGCTTCTGCCGCTCACCAATTATGATCCCTTCAACCTCAATCACTTGACTACAGTCCTTGACCTCCATCACCCGACTACTATGGTTCGATCGACCAAACGAGCAGCCTAACGTTCTCTTGAGAACAACTGTCATGTCATTAAATTCTTCCAACTCTAATCATACAATGTGTTCTATATGTTGTATATTTGCTATATTCCCCAAGGAAGGATATCATTTGTAATCAAAGACAAAATTTAGTATAATCATTCTAATTGGGTAAGGCCCCGTGATTTTTTCATTGTTCAAGTTTTTTAAGGAAATTTTTTATGTCTCTTATGATTGTTACACCCCTCTCTCTCATCATTGTGTGTGTTAAATTTTCATACGAATTTAGGACTTTAAACTCTATATCTCTTACCGTTGTGAATGTTATTACACGTAACAATTTTGTTTATTATTTGTCTTATATTTTACTAAAATATAAGTTTCTTAAAGATATATTTCCTGAAATGTCACTGATATTAATTTCTCTAAAATAAAATTATTTATAATGTTATATATATATATATAATGTAAAAATTAGTCAATCCACTGATTTTATCCTAACACATTTATTATAATTCAGACTGCCAAAATTCTCATCGGCCAAAGGCATCAACTTTCTATTATTCCAGTAATATGCCATTAATGGCCAAGTTCTCAATTCCCCCCGCAGATCTGCTTTCTTCAAGGAACTTTCTCCGCTAGACAGACGTGGGCGCATTCGTCATTCGTGACGCGGTATTTTTTTCTTAGATGGCCTCTCGCTTCTCCTCCTCCCAATCTTCGTGAGACTGGTTGCTTATTAAAAGCTCAACCCCTCTTACAAGGAAGACGCGGTTCGCCATGTGATGCACAGAGCTGTTGCTACGAAGATGGCGGAGGAGGTTAGCCGAGCGGCAGCATCGGAGGCAGTGGTGACGAGTTCGTCGAAGTGGGCATGGCCGCGTGCCCTACGGTGGGTTCCCACCTCCACCGATCACATCATCGCTGCGGAGAAGCGCCTCCTCTCGCTTGTCAAGTAAGCCAATGAGTTCAATTTTTATTCGTCTGTGGGTTGTTTGACTACTATTCTTCTTCTTCTCTGTTCTTTAAAATTCATCTAGAATTATTGCTTAATTCCATGTTTCTGGCCTAGATTGATTGTTGGTTTAAGCAATGGCCAAGCGTGGGTGTTTTATTTCTAGGTATAAGGGATCCGTATGCCGATTGAATTAGAGGCGACGATTCGATTGGAGATACCTGTGGTCCTTGTTAAATTGTTACACCTTCGAATTTTTTCGGAGTTAGAGATGAGTGGGGTGAATTAACTGAAGGCAGGATATGAAAAAAGTTTAGAATAGGGATTATTGGGTTTAAATCAATTTTTTTTCTGAAGCTGTAGAGTTTATCAGCAAACGGCGACTTCTTAAATCATCTTAATTTTAGACCAGGACATTTGTTCACAAAACTGAAGGGTTGGACTAGTTCTAGACTATAAGTTTTCAAATTCCTGAAGGAATATTATCAGGCAAGTTTAGTTCAAGTTTTTTTTTTTTTTTTGGTTTTCCTCGTTCTAGGATTCTACCTTGAGTAGATTGTGGTTCTCATTCCCACTGTATATATAAAAAAAAAAGAACGCAATTTACCGTGTATATGTGGCATCTTAAACTTGAAGAAGCTAGTATCCATAGTCAAACCAAACTTTTGTCTTTTTACGAAATGTGTGTTACTGTGTTAGTGCCATTCTTCTAACACCTCCATCGTTAACCCTCTTTAACACCAGGCATGCAAGCATGTAAATTACGGAAGAATGTGTGGCATGAAGATAGATTGTTCTCTTTTCATATATACATGGTGAGCTAAGTGATTTTGGTGTAATGAAGAGATTTTTATATCTACTAGTTAGAATTTACATGCACTAAGTGCGCATAGGTGGTTCATTTTGCCTTTTGAATATGTAAGATTTGCAAGCTGCAGTATTAAATTTTATTTCTTAAGTAATAAATTTATTTAAAGTATTTTTATTTGTTTGACGTCTTCTTAAATTATCATGACACAGACAAATATTTCAATACTAAATTACATAAAAGTAAATATTATTAAGATTTATATATATTTAGGCATATCTAAAATAACTATCAAATGATATTTAGATATATTTCAAATTACCGACATTCATTATTTCTTTCTTTGCCTTTTGACCTTATTCAACTTATTCTTTCTGCATTTTTTCGTTATGGGGTCAGGCTTCTTACAATACCAAAATCTGTAGGGTGATCTTGTGACATGCTTTTGTTATTATTTTATTGTCGGCTCTTTACATGAGATTTTGATATGCCTCTTCCTTTGTTGGTTCCCTTGTTTTGAAACTTGCTCATTTCACCACCATTTAGAATGTAAAATGATTTGTTGTTTAATATTATTGCTATGGATTAGACCTCTAGCGTCATTGAGCCTCATGGTAGACAATCTGTGGATCTTTTGATGACTATTACAATGTTATCCTAGCTCGCAAACAGTGATGAAAACAAGCTTAAGGCATAGATCTCATCACCGAATTCAATATTTATGGAGTTTAACTATCTTATAGTTGAGTTGAACTCATTGATGTAATCGGTGACCAAAACTTATTATAACATCCTAAGATCGATTTTTTTTGTTATATATTTATACACACCAGTGAGCACCTTCATAATGCCTGTTGTAGTTGCCTTGCTAAGGATGTTGAAAATAACGTTCATGCTAAGGGATTGACAAGTGTCCCCTATAGTTTGTTTGTTTATCAACTATCACTCTTATCGATAGGCTGTAGCTTTACTTTCTTAAGTGGTTGGAGTTTTTTTTTTGGTACAAATAGTCCTCTATTTGCATCTTCCAGAACATGATGTTTTGATACTTTTATCGTCCATGACCAGGTCTAAAAGCCTTTAAGATTAAAGCTTTGATACTAATTGTTAAGATAAGATAAAAACTTTAAGCAAACAACAAATATAAATGAAAGAATCAAGCATACAAAAAAATCAAAAACACAAAACACAAGTTTACTTGGTTTAGTGAGATCCACTCATGTCCATGACTACACAAAAATCAAATATTCCCTTAAGCTTTGAAAAGGAAGGGTACATCAAAGATTTCTCTTTATAAAAAATTTAAGATATGGATTGAGATATCATTTTTTTCTATGTTAATGACAGAGAGACTGCAAGCACCAATTATAATGACTAGGATTGAATATGGAGAAGCTGATGTTTTTGTTATTGCTGCTATTATCTCCTCTTCTCTCTTATAGGAGTAAAAAAAGAAATTTTCCTTATTATGGATGAAAGCTTATCCTTTTAATAGAGCCAAAATTAGTAGCATATTCTTTTGCTTGAAGTAGAGAACCATCTTTCAACAAGCACCTTAATCCCTCCTCTTGGTTGGCATCCTCTCACTCTCTCTTCTTTCTATTTTCTTATTGCTGGAGGATGCACTTAAACATCATATAGTTATCTCCTTATATATTGCTTGGAAGTGAAATGCTACAAATCTATAGAGGTTAGATAAATGATGGTAGGTAATGTGTTTTTAGGGTTAGGCAGAGGTGGTAGATTACAATTGTAGAGGTTATTTAAACAGTATTAGATAATATATTTGTGGATGTTAGATACAGAAATACATCTTCACATCTCAATATGAGTAGCCATGACATCTCGCAAGTACCTTGGACGAGTACTATCTTAAAGGTTATGACCAAAGTGACTTCATCAATTGGGCATCACGAGAAAGTTCTAGAAGTTGGCTATTTGTTGAATACGATTGGTTGGATATGCTCTTTAAGATCTAATCATCTTATTTCAAAAGTTGAACATTGTGAGCCAAAATCTTAAGATTTTAACTCTTTTTAGGCAAGTTGGTGCTTCAGCGATTCTAGTTGATTTTTGACTTGGTTTTATTGGATTTATTGTTCATTGGCTCCGTAAACTTGGTATTGATCTACAATTTGACTTGATTCACTTCGCAAATAAGATGATTAATGTTTGATAAAATGTGAAGCCCTTTTTAATAATAGCTTATATTAGCATATAGTTGCTAAATAACTACCGTGAAAATGTACGAGAATTTATTTGAAGCAAATAATGTCTTTTTCCTCCATTCAAAAAGAGTTAAAGGAGATAATCCACCGCTTTTCTTAAACATTAGGTGTTCTTTCTTGTATGTTTTTCTACCATATTTCTTGCTTGATGGGTATGAAAAAGATTAATCATAGATATTAAGATGGCAATGCCTAGTGTAATTGCTAATTTGTTGCACAACAAGCCAACGACCAACGTTAAATGGCATGAGATAGCACATACAAATGCCATGTCATTTCTTTACATGCTCATATAGAGAAACACCATGCCTATAATCGTAAACATCATGATATTTATTAGGTTATGGCATCAACATTTACCAAATTTTGCGTGGCAAATGAGAATATCAAGGTGAATATCTTGTAAATGTGGGAATGTTATACTTTGAAATCCATATTAGAGAGTGTAGCTGTCATATCTATTGAAGAATAAGTTAAACTATAAATTGGTAATTGGCCATATACAATTGAGAAGCATAGGTGCTAATTAGGGAGTTGATAAAATTCATGGGAAAGTGCTAGTAATGAAAACAACATTGATCCATGTTAAAATGACTAGTAGTTGTGAAAGGATTATTTTTTAGTCAAACTTATTAATATGTACAACCCTTAATAAGAATTAATGATAAAAAATGTGTATAGAAGAGACCTTAATTGTTGATTAATCATCATTATGATGTTAATGAAGATGATTTTTAGTGTCACGGATGTCATAGAGCCTTAAGGACTTGTAAATCCACTCATTGATGGGTAGCATGCTAAAGATTAAGTTATCATTCAAGTACTATTGTTAGCTTTTGACAACTTCAAACATTTGTATAGAGCTTTTGCCAACAAGAAACACAATTTTATAGGTTAGAAAAATCTCTAATTTTGGAAATGCTTGATATTTTGAAATAGCTTTTAGGGTTCCATTTTTATCCGTTCATTCATCATCATCATCTTTAATTGTATTTTTACTATTTCAAATCAGATTAGAATCCTTCTTCGTTCACTTATATTAAGCACCAAAAGGTGTATTAGCTTTATTTTCTAATCGTTTCATACAATTTCTAGTCATTTTGCCTTCAGAATATCATTTCCTTTTATTCCTCGCCATATTTATTCTATCCAAGTTATGCTTAAATAGTTTTTTTGTAATCATTACAAAACAATCTCATGGGTATATGTATGCTCCATGAAGATTCTTAGATACAATTTGATGCGGGCAAAAGATATAGGGAGCCTATACCCTTCGCCCACAAAGGACACGACGGACTTCTACGGACGAAATTGACTAAAGACGAGGAAATGGACGAACAAAATAGGGAAGAACAAACTCTTACATTTCAATTTTAAAACCAAATAAAGCCTAGCTCATAAATGAGCTAAAATTCTAGCTCAATTGGATTGAGCTAGTAGACTCAAGGGAAGCCAAAATTTGATTTATTTTGGACTAGTGTTGACCCCCCTTTGTCTACATCACAATTCAACAATAAATGATGAGTTATGATAAAATTATTCAAGTATCCTTATTCAAAATTGAGATTAACTCTTAGTTTTCTCATGATTATTTATTCTATTTCATACTTTTCATGATCTACTTATAATATATTTTTAAAAATAATATTATGTTTTGAATTCTAACTCTTATAATTGTATACTATTCTAATAATTCATATATGCTTAAACATAAGAATGTTTGGGATTATTTTCTAAAATTGAAAACTTAGGATCATAAATTTGGTGGAATTACATACCACTTTTTAATTAGTAGTATAGATCTATCCTACTAGAGTGGTTGTTAAGAGTTGTAGCTCTTCATTTAATACCCTCTTTATAGAATTTCGAGTTTCCTTTTATTTGTGATATATATTTCAAATTTTTTCTAATCACATTTATTCTTTTGGGTAACATTTTCTTTTTGCACTTAAATTACAATGACCATTAATTGAAAGTGTATAGTTAAACATAGTGTTTAGCATATGTCTTATGTTATCCGTGTGAATCTTTGTTTGTGTTGGCTAAAAGATTTTAAGAAAAGATTATAACATTGCTAGCAATATCTCCAGGTAACTTTGTTGTTTTTTACTCATATGCAAGGCTATATTTTCAAAATGTTTTATCCTTAAAAATGATTTATGGATTAAGACGTTGATGTTTTGAAATTTCTTGTATGTTGCAGGACTCCATATGTACAAGAGCAGGTCAATATTGGTTCTGGGCCGCCTGGTTCCAAAGTTAGGTGGTTCAGATCCTGTAGTGATGAGTCCAGATTCATCAATACGGTAACATTTGATAGCAAAGACAACTCTCCTACTCTTGTCATGGTACATGGTTATGGTGCTTCTCAAGGTTTCTTCTTTCGGAACTTTGATGCCTTGGCTAGTCGTTTTCGGGTGATTGCTATTGATCAACTTGGGTTAGTAACATGATTCCTCTCTTTCCCAATCTCCTCCTGCCAACCCCAACCTATTTGAACTTCTCTCTATGATGTGTTAGATTATTCCTAATGTTAAAGTGATTAACTTGAAGCTTCATAGAACGCTTGTACTTCTGTCAAATGTGATTATTTAAGGAAAATATTTAAGTATATTGATGTCAAATGTATGACCCTACTTACGGAGCTTGTAATAGAAAAATAGACAAAATTTTCATCTTACAGGATGTACCAGTAGTATAAGAAAAGGTTTCAATTGAATATTATTGTCTAACCCCTTACCCCTCTCTCCCTCTCTCTTTCCCTCCCTCCCTCCCTCTCTCTCTCTCTCTCTCTCTCTCTCTCTCTCTCCCCCCTCTCTTCCTCAAAAGAGAGAGTTAAAGGTCTCAAGGTGTGAACAACTTTGTATTAATTGTGGGATTTTTATTTACTAGCCTTTGCTTTATGTTTTCCTTTGCGTTTGCTTAAATGGTTTAGTTCTCTTGTTGTAGTTTCTTTGCCTAGCAAGTTGAACATCGCGAATTACTTATAATCAACTAAACTTTGATGCATGATTAGATAATTCGTTGAGCTAAAAATTTAATTCTCTTTTTAACTCTTTTGTAACTCCACCATTGCATCACATCACAACTACTTTGGCAAAATGAGAATTTATGTACAAAAACCTTGGTCTCGATGTGAATGACACTTGTTTGAGTTGGGAAGCCTTTAGTATTATTAATTGACAAGAGGGAAACTATATATATGTGCACAAGACAAACAAAAAAAATAATATTAAGGAGGTGAATATCTTCAATTATGTGATCATAAATTAGTAATAAAAACTTATTTGGTAATGAGTAATCTAATACTTTCCTATTGTAATTTTTTTAAATATGGAAGTTTTCAATGATAACACTTTCCCTCAAACTGGGGCATATTTATCAATTAACTCCAACTTCTTACATAGTTTGAAATATTGAAGTGGACCTAATACCTTTCTAAAAAGTATGACAATTTTTTTTTAATGCTGGAAATGTAAGGATTAATAATCGTTTTTGATACCACCACATCCTAAATAAAGTGACAACCAAACTTAATTTGTTTTGCTCTTCCGTATAATACAAGATTACCAATAATCTAGATAACATCCTATTGTAATAGTTTAATCCCGTGGGTGCAATTGGAAAACTAAATTTCTCTAGGAGAGTCTTAACCCGCATCATCTTAGAAGTCAATTGCCATAAAGCTACATTTCGCCTCAGCATTTGAGCTAGCCACCACTATTTATTTCTAACTCTTTTATATGACAAAGCTGTCTCTTACAAAACATGTTACATATATGAGAATTTTATAGCATTAGCAATTGGGGAGAATGTATGAAATCAGTCAATCTCAGAGACTTGAGTAAAACCTTTGTCAACCAAATGAACCTTGTATCCATCAACAAGCTATCACGATGAAATTTAATGATTTAAATCTATTGATATAGGATTGGTTTAATGTTAGGAGGGTTAACTAGATCCTATGTATTCTTACTAAGCAAAGTAGCCATTTTAGTATCCATAGCTTATTTCAATGGGATATATTGTTATCCTTCTTGGTATGTCATGGGAATAGAAATGGATTAAAGGACATTATAAAATATTGGAAGCCAGTAGAAGATGTTCAAAGGATGTATGAGGTGGCCTAGTGGAATCAATACACTGTTGTTTATGTTTTCCAAAGGTTATGGGCATATGGAGATAAAAGAGTTCTCTAGGGCCTGCTCAACTCGTTCTAACAATATGATGGGAGTATTGTAGATTGTGGACAATTTCATCATATGTACACTTGTCGAGGCAGCCCCTCTCAGCGTGTCATCCTTAGCTTACTACAACGTGGCCATCGGGAGGGATGGGGATGGCGATTAGTAGTTGCTAACCTCATGACCCAAACACATCTCTTTGCATTTTTTTTTCTTTTTTGTTGTTAATCCTATCCCTTGGTTTTCACCAGGCTCTAAACTCGGCAACCTTTCTCTTAGATTTGTCTCATTGATAAGCCATAGAAGGGCCAACATATCCTTACCCCAGTACAAGTCTTTGCCGTGAGTAGAATATTCTAACCCTTGGTGCTGGATTCCCATACCCTTCTAGTTCATAGAAAAATCCCTAGGGAAAAATTTAGTCTCCCCCATTCAACTCACCACTTGTAAAGCCATCAACGACACTTCCATAACCAACAACCCCTAATAGTTGTTAGCTTCTTTAAAGTCATCTCCCTCCACAAGACGAATCTAACATCCCTGTAAGATGATATGACCATGTTCTATGAGGACCTGATGTCTTTTATCAACGTCCTGTCGACACAACCACTCAATGATTAGTTTGCGTTTTCTCACCAACACTCACTCATGCCAGCTCGACTCGCTAACCCCAACTTGATGCTATTTTGTACTAATACACCTTGACATCAAAAACAACCAACGAACAGGGACAAATTCAACAAACAACATATTTTTTTTATTGATAAAATCAGAAATATGCAAAAACAAGATAAAATGGTCATCTTTCATCTTTCGAGAGGAGGACATTCTCTCTCAAATCCTAGATGCCGCTAGAATCTCTCACAAAAACTGTGGACATCAATCAGGGCTGTCAAAAATGGGTTTCGGGTCGGGTTCGGGTCCAACCCGAAATTGACCAGACCCAATTCGGGTCAACCCGAACCCGACCCGTTTCTTGAAACGGATCATTTTTGCTGACCTGGACCCGACCCGCCTCGGGTCCGAGTCAACCCGACCCGACCCGTTTAACCCGTTTCTGCACTTTAAAAAATTTAAACAGGTTTTATTGTTTTAATAATTTTAACTTTTAAATGGCTGAAAATCTGAAATGTAAAAACCAAGGGATATTTTTTTTCAATTGCAAATCTTCAATTAATTTACATGTTACAAATTACAATTCCTCAATTACAAAGATACAATCTCACATAACAGTCATGAATCATTCAAGTTCTAGTCACAAGGATTTACAAAAGGCAGCACCAACAACCCAAAAAAATTTTTCAAAATAACCCTCCCCTAATTACCTCTCAAATCAGCCCCCAAATATGTTCTCTTCAATTAAAAAATATTTTATAATTAATACCCTCTAAATCAGCCCATAAATATACTCTCTTCAATTAGGAAACATCTTCTAATTAATCCCCTTTGATTAAGAACTTTCCTAAACAGCTACCTCTTGATTAGGAAACTTTCTAATTTCCTCTCAATCAAATTGGCAGGTCCAACAATAGTCCCCTCCCAAAGCGACTATCCACAAGGTGGTACGAAGGAAATTGCTGCTAAAGCATTGCATTGGACTGAAAAATGGACTGTCAATGGGTTGAATAATCTCTGCCTCCAACATCTCCCCATTAATCTCTCGAGTTCATTCTTTTGGAGTTGGGAAGAACGGTACGGACAAACACTGATATGTAAAATTCCTTCCTTCAAAATGTAGCATGCTCGTGTTCCCGTGGAGGAGGCTAACTCTGAACTGGCTGGAACACCTCTCGATATTGTTGTAGGAGTGGTTAATCTGATATCTTCTCCCCATCTTTTTTTCGTTCCAAACTTTGGAGCTCCACCAAGCATCCCTCTCCTTCCCCGTGTAAGGCACGAACCAGGGTTTTCGAAGAAACCATGGCTTTGAATAAGCTAGATCTCCCATATTACCACTTTTCTCCCCTCCGCCTAGATCTCCATAGCTAGGGAAGAAAATCCTCTTTGATGTGAATCCCCGACAGCTCCACCATCAAACCTTGAAATATCTCTCCACTCTTGTCTACATTTCTTGTGCCCATCATCACTCTGAAACATCCTGTTTCTTTCAGCTCTAGCCCCAATTTGTCCACCACTTAATTTAATATGTAATTGTGGGTAGCCTCATTGTCCACTAGGATCGCCACCGCCTCTCCTTTTATTTGTCCCTCACCTTCATAGTGTGTTTCAGAGTGAATCCCACTACAAAGTTCAATGAAACTTCCGCCACCTCCCTGTGTACAGGCTCCTCTTCTTCTTCCTCCTCTGCCTCGTCCACCTCTTCCTCATCACACACCAATAGAACCTGCAAGATATGACTTTTACACCTATGTCTTGGAAGAAATTTCTCATCGCACCTACAACATAACCCCTTTGTCCTCCTTTCATATATCTTTGCTTCTATGAGGCGCTTGAAATTACTATCCAGACGTACTCCAATGCTCTTCTTCTTGGGTGCTTTTCTATGAAAAGAGATCGTCTGGGTCCTCGGTGCTAGGGTTGTGGAGGAATTCCTATGAGCACCTCTCACAATGTTGCTCCTGCGGGCCTTTTCCCTCTAATGTTTCTCCTCCATCATTTGTGCATGTTCCATTGTCTCCTTCAGTCCGTTAGACCTCCATACTTTGTGTTCTACTCATATATTCTCCTTGAGGCACTTCACGAAATTTTCCACAAAACCTTCTTCATAAATCCCCCTTAGTTTGCCTGATAACAACTCAAATTTCTCTTGGTACTCCATGACTGTGCCTGCTTGAGACAAGGCATAAAACTGCTCGTGATGGTCTCCTTTCCTAATTGCTCGAAAAAGTTCTTTCCAACAACTCATCTTTAAATTCTCCATATAAATGAAGAGGATACATCGCCTCCCTCCACTGAAACTAAGCTAGGGCTTTGCCCTTCAAACATAGCCCCACCACCATGAGCTTTTCTCTTTTTGTGAGCCTATTGATAACAAAATATCTCTCCAACCAATACACCCATCCTTGAGCATCTTCTCCTTCAAAGATCGGCTTCTTTAGCTTTCTCACCCTAGCATCTCCACCCCAGTTCCCTCTCCCATTATTTTTTCCCCTGTATATTACGGGTGGAAATCCCACCTTTCTTCCATCCGACCCCCATAGTGGTTGTCCACCCCACTAACTCCCCCACGAAATTTCCTTCCTGCTGCCCCTCTTTTAGAAGACCTTGTTCCACCTCTCATCGGAGCCCTAAGAGG